TGAGGATGGGACGGGGAGGACACCAGATTTAGGTTAATCTGGTTGAGATCAGGCCCTGGAAACAGAATGGGGCACTCACTGACACCCCACAGCTCAGACACATCAGGGGAGTCCAGGCTGGTCACTTAGCCCCTGCCATTCCACTGGATCATGGCTGATCTTTCAGCTCAATTCCACCATCCCAGAATTCCTTCGGTACACCAAAGATCCACCGATCTCGGCCTTAAATATATTCCAAAAGGCACAGAGATCCAGCTGGCAGCTACCTTGCAAGAAACTTTGGCAGTGGGTGGGGCTAGTTGGATGACAAGGGACAGGAAGGGGTTCGCTTCGGTCAGAAAGTTGCGAGTTAAAGTCCCACTCTGGAGACCCGAACAGGCTAGGAGCAGCCCTGAGGGAATGCAACATGGTCAACGGTGCTGTCGTTTGGAGATGTTAAACCAGGGCTCTGCCTGTTCCCTTCGGTATTAAAGATCTCATGCCACTACTTTAAAGAAAAACTGGGAAGCTGTCTCAGGTCTCCTTGCAAATATTCATCCCTTAACCAACCGATTATAACCAACTTTATAACTTTATTTTCCAATTTTATACCGAGAAGATTAGTGCTGAACTTTTTAAACTCATTTCTTTATTTCTCTGTTTCTGTAACTAAGATTTTGGACCAAGATGCTCTGTACCTAAGATGGTGCCATGTATGCTTTTCACTGTACTCTTGTACCCAGTCCACGAGAACGTGCGACAATAAAACCTAAATCTAAAAAAAATCTACAAGATTATCCGGTCATTATCATTTGGCAGTCTGTGGGAACTTACTGCGTGCAAATTGGCTGCAGTGTTTCTCCTCGGAATAACTACTTCATTTTCAACCTATTCCCACACCCAAGGATGTGAAGAACATCACATAAATGCAAGGTCTGCTTTTAATGATGATGTGCAAGGTTTCTACTTGAACACATAATTCAGCCTCAGCTCTGTGTGTAATGTACAGCCTTCAGAATTAATGTCAATTTCACAGATCCGTCTTCAAACGAGGTAACACAGCTGCTCCCAGCAACGACTGGCTACATCCCCTGAACACAGTGCTATTTGCAGCCGATCCACTGAGATTTCAGGACAAGGAGATAAAAAGGTGGAAAGTTAAACAGTTATGTTGGCCACCAACCAACAATTTTACACAATAATCTGTTTGAACAGCGTCAACTCCCTCACTGAAAATCAATCACAGTTCTGTCTGCACAGTTGCTGCAGTTCCCCCATTTCACTCCCGCTTTGGTCAAACATTTGTTTTACAGGGAAAAAAACAGACAGAACTGGGGAAATGAGGACCTACATTTCAAATTCCAACCTTCAGCCTAAATGATATATCCAAGCTCCTTCAACTCTGGCTTCTTGTGCCCTGAAGAACCTGGGTAAGTGCTGATTTCCAGACACTATCATTATTAGTGCACATAAAAACGAGGAAGAGTAGGCCATTCAGCCCTTCAAGCCTGCTCCCCCATTCAATAAGATCAAGGCTGATCTGATTTTAACCTCAACTCTACATTCCTGCATATCCCCAATAATCCTTCATCCCCTTGGTCATCAAGAATCTACCTACTTTGGTCTTAAAAATATATCGCATCCGCTGCCTTTTGGAGGAAGGGAATTCTAAAGACCCTCAATCCTCAGAGAAAAAATATTTCCTCGTCTCTGTCTTAAATGGGTGACCCCTTATTTTTAACGAGAACACCTAGATTCTCCCACGACACAAAATGTCCTTTTCCACATCCACCCAGTTAAGTCTCCTCAGGGTCTTCTATGTTTCAAATGAAATCACCTCAGACTCTTCTAAATTCCAGAGGATACAGGCCGAGCCTGCCTAGCCTTTCCTGATAAGGCAATCCACTTATTCCAGGTTTCAGTCAAGCAAACACTTTCTGAACTGTTACGAACACATTAACATCTTTCTGTAAGTACAGCAAGCAGTCCTTTACACAGTACTCCAGGTGTGGTCTCACCGATGTCCCTATAACTGAAATACAGTCCGTTTCTTCAGCTGATGGGACCAGATCCTGGGATTCTCTCCTAAACCTTTCCCAATCCTTTTATTATGTGCAGGATGTTGCCATAAAGAGACCAACGATCAATTCTGTACTCTTAAGGTTACCCTTAACGCAGCAAAAAGATCAATGTTCATTGCTTGGTGTCTGATCGATGAAGACGACAGCAAAGGGCCATCATTTAAACATATTTTACTTCTTTGTTGAGAATGCAGTTTTGCAGCACTGCACTACTGTCAATGTCAACCTCAGTAACACCCCCTTCCTCCCCTTCAAAAAACACTGAATTCCAAACATACAGCCCAAGGGTCATATTCATGGTGGCTACTGTACATTGACAAAATATATTTCCCTTAGAATCAGAGCAGAAGACCATTCAGCCCATCATGTCTGCGCAAGACCTTGCAGAGAGCAAATCATGTTATTTTTCCTTTAAGTATTTCTCCAACTCCCTTCTGAAGCTAATCTGTATCTGCCCAGTCCCACATGCCAAATTCTCACTGCTCCTCAAATAAAAGCCCCTTTTGTTGCATCACCGTGGGCCCTTTTGCCAATCACCTTGCCAATGGCTACAGCCATTGGAACTAGTTATTCCCGATTAAGGCCATCCTTCAGGGCTAAACTGACAACGGTTATGATGTATACCTTTATATACCTTATGAATAAAGTACGTTTCGGTGAAAAGTTGATGAGGCAAGAGGATGACAACTCCCTGGGAACAGGTGCATCTTACTTTCTGATCAGGGTGGGGAAAGAGAGGGAGAGCGCTGAAGTATTGGGTGAAAATTGCCCACTGATGAACTGAAATTTTAAACAGTTTAGACTTTCAAGCAAGCGTTAGGAATTAGCATACAATGGCATCAGATGTCAGAACAAAACTGGCTCTCTCTGTGACTTCAATTGCACCCTGCTTCACCTCTACATATCTCCACAGACACTCTGCTCCTCTGGCAACAGCCTTTCCTCTCCATTTACTCATTCCCTGTATCCAACAATCAATGGCCCCATCTTCTCCCCACCAATACCTTTCCCATTCCAGCTGGTCGCCTCAGTCCCTCTCCGCTTCCAACGCTCATGGAATCATAGAATCCCTAAAGTTTGGAAGCAGGCTGTTCGGCCCATCGAATCCACACCAGCCCTCCGAAGAATGTCCCACCCAGACCCAAACACCCACCCCAACCATATCCCTGTAACCCTGCATTTCCCATGGCTAACCCATCTAACCTGCACATCTTTGGACTGTGGGAGGAAACCGGAGCACCCGGAGGAAACCGGAGCACCCGGAGGAAACCCACGCAGACCCGGGGAGAACATGCAAACTCCACACAGACAGTTGCCGAATCGAACCCGGGTCCCTGGTGCTGTGAGGCAGCAGTGCTAAACACTGAGCCACCGTGCTGCCCCTCATCTCTCCTCTCTGATGCTTATCAGAATCATTCAGTCATAAAGCATACGGCACAGAAGAGGCCCTTCAGCCCATCGAGTCTCTCCTGACCTATTGACACAAGTCCTACTTTTCAGCACATAGCCCATAGCTTTGCATGTTATACAACCTCTATCCACCCTCACAAAAAATTATGAGTCATTTCATTCTGAAACATAAATTTGTTCACCACAGAAACCCCAACCATTGTCTGTCAAAGACCATAAGACGTAGAAGCAGGAAGTAGGCTATTCAGCCCATCGAGGCTGCTCTGTCAACAAGGGGATCACAGCTGATCTGATAATCCTCAAGTCCACTTGTGAAACTCGAAAGGGTTCAGAAAAGATTGGCAAGGATGCTGCCGGGATTGGAAGGTTTGAGCTACAGGGAGAGACTGAATAGGCTGGGGCTATGTTCCCTGGAGCATCAGAGGCTGAGGGGTGACCTTACAGAGGTTTATAACATCATGAGGAGCATGAATAGGGTGAATAGCCAAGGTCTTTACCCCAGAGTAGGGGATTCCAACACTAGAGTTTTAAAGGTGAGAGGGTAATGATTTAAAAGGGACTGAAGGGGTAACCTTTTCATGCAGAGGGTAGTGCGTGTGTGGAGCTGCCAGAGGAAGTGGTGGGCGTTGGTACAATTACAACATTTAAAAGGCATCTGGATGGATATATGAATAGAAAGGATTTAGAGGGATAGGGGCCAAATGCCGGCAAATGGGACTAGATTTATTTAAGCTATCTGGTTGGCATGGACCAAAGAGTCTGTTTCTGTGCTGTACAGCTCATTGACTCTGTGACAATTTCCTTCCTTTCCCCCATAAGCCCCGATTCCCTTCCAGACTCAGCGAGTTTGAAGAAATCAGTGTGATTACTTTATACCATGGTCTGGAGGGGCAACAAGGAATGACCAATAAATACTAACCTGCCAGCAACACTTACACCCTGAGAACAGGGCAGGGTGGAGGGGTGGGTTAGACAGAAGGAAAAAGAACAATGCTTATTGCTTTGGTTTGAAAAGGTCAAGCACAAAAAGTTATATAAATTTCATAAATCGAGATGAACTCGGCAGTCTCACTGAAAAGTAGAAATGTCTTGACAGGTCAAAACCCAGAGAAAAACGAGCGAGTGCACCACATTTACTGAATTACAGAAAATATGCAGAATGGTATTTATCCTCAGGTCCCAGCTGGCATTTCAAAATGGACAGATCTGAAAGCCCTGACCAGAAAGTGAACTTCATTCTCCCATGGTCTTGCTTCTTATTATTGTGGCCTTCCAACTCCAGTCAGGATTTCCAATTAGATTCACTTTTTCCATTCCGACAAACTCATCGAAGCAGAATTAATTTTGCATCAAGAGCACGGTTTGAGCCACCTGAGCCACTTTAAGCTGCTGAGAGACCAGCTTTTTCAGGACCTGATAAAGCTCTAGACATCTCCAGAGGAAGGAGTAAGCTTAGACCGAGCATCAGTCAGCCAACAAACACCATCCAACCAAACACTCCAAAAACAGCATTAAAAATGAAATAATAACAACTTAGACTAAATTGATAAAATGCTTCAGCAATCCACCCATTTCAGCAGCACAGGAACAGGCCATTCGGCCCAATGAATCTATACCGGTGTTTATGCTATGTACAAACTTCCTCAAACCTTACATCAGCTAATTGCCTCAGCACACACCTTGATCCTGGAGACAGCATGGTGTAGTGGTGATGTCATTGGACTTGTAATCCCAAGGGCCAGGCTAATGCTCTGTGGCGGAATCTCCACTCACATTTTTAAAAAAAGATTTGGAATTGAAAGGCTGTTTCAGCATGTCGTAAAACCCACCTGATTCACTAACATCCTTTAAGGAAGGAATTCCACCGTTGTTACCTGGTCTGGACCTACATATGGCAGCAATGAGTCTGACTTTCTATTGCCCTCTGGCTTACCAGGCAATTTCACTCAGTTCAAGGGAAATTAGGGAAATGCTGACCTAGCAAATAATGCCCATATCCCACGAAAGAACATTCCTTTCTTCTGTGGCTTCCCCCAACATCCATCTATGCTATTTGCCCCAAAATCCCCTTGGCATTGCAAATTCAAACCACTTGCTCAAGGACATTCTGCTGAATTCTGACTATGATATACACAAATAAATCCAATTAAAACACTTAGTTTTAGCTTCCGTGCAAATAATAACATACACTTTATACCCTCACTATCAAACACTTTCTTAATCTTGGATATTTGTACCACCATCTCCCTTTCCACCTCCATCCTAATTAGACAGTAGTTATTCATGGGGTTGTGAAGACTCCTTACCCTTCCCAGCGAAGTGCAACACCTCACACTTATCAATATTGAAATGCAATTGCTAATTATGCACCTATTCAACAGATTACTAAAGCCTCCTTTTAAGTTATTGCGGGCTTCCTCAATATTTACTACAGTCTCGGCAATTTCCAGATTTGGGACTTGCAATTCCAAGGTCCAAGTTGGTCGTGCAAGTTATGAAATCCCAACGGAATGCCAGATCCCACCTTTAGCCAGCCCAAGTAACTCTCCTTAACCCTCCTGTTTCTGTCACCAGCTCACTATCCATTGATCTGGCCTCCACACACACTGACCTTGTGTCAGCAGCTGTTAAACTTTTTCAAAGGCTTTTCAAAAACCTAAACCTAATTTCACCTTCTGCAGTACATTGGTCTACTCTTCCTGGTATTCCTACAAGGAAGGAAATGCAGTTGGTCAAATGCGACATTCCTTTCTGAAATTGGTGTTTGCTCTTCTTTATTATATTTTCATTCTTACAATTACACCTTTTGGAGAAAAGATTTACGTATCTTTTGCAGCACCAATAGATAGCAAAGGTCTTGACCCTGGGGTGGAGGAGTTCAAAACTCAGGGGCATATTTTTATGGTGAGAGGAGGAAGATTTAAAAAGGACAGAGTGGTTCACATGTGAAATCAACTGCCAGAGAAAGTGGTAGATCCAGGTACATTTACAATGTTTAGAAGGAATTTAGATCAATGTGTGAATAGGAAGGCTTTGGAGAGATGTGGGCCAGGAGCAGGCAGATGGGACTAGTTTAGTTTGGGAATATGGTTGGCATGGATTAGTTGGACCAAAGGGTCTGTTTCTATACTGTATGACTCTATGACCAATGTTTGTCAGTAACTCCGTTACCATCCTCCTTATTAAAATATCTGCCTTCCTAAATAGAACACCAACACTGGACGACTCCTTGCAAGCTCTTACAGCAGATCCAACTCTAATATTTCTTATAACCATTCTACACTTTTAAACAAATTCTAAATCTGTAAAAATTACTAATATTATTAATGGACTCTAGCCTCAACTAATGTAACTCACAATGTAACCTGCATGCCTCTAAGTCTTTTTGATCTGTACACCCTTTGCTTGCTGTGATCTGCCTGTACCGCTCGAAAACAAAGCTTTTCACTGTATTTCAGTACACGGGACAACAAAGTCAAAATCATATGAGGTTCACATTCACTGTTTCAGATTCCCTTGTCTAAAACATTATGAATTAATAGTGTCTTTGCTTGCTGTTCATTGCCTTGTTTACTATTTGTGAATGGAATTCAATTGCGCATCCGTTTTTACCTTCACATTTAAAGCATCTCTCTTTTCTTGCATCTTCACTTAGTCTTTCTCTGTTAAATACCATTTTTCTTATTCACCACTGGCATGTTAACTTTGTTAGATTCCCTGGTGAATACAGGGACAAAAAGTAACTATTCAAAATTTCTGTTACTTTATTGGGAGCTTACTGTCTGCATCTTTAAAAGCTTCATTTTTTTTGGGTGTGGAGGTGGGAAGAGGGCAGGTGGGTGGTGGCTACTCCTTCTTCCAGTAGCGCTGGGTCACCCCAGTGCGGAACAAAACCAAACCAGGAAGTGTCTACACACAGCCTTGGGCTAGGGCTGTGGTCAGGTACCAACTGGAATCGAGTGATGCCTTTCATGGTGAAATAGGCTCCTGACACTCACTTTATTGGACCACAGACAATGTGAAATGAAAAAAGTGTATTCACACAAGACCTCTTGGGACGTCAAACCACAAAGTGTAGTCAGTCTTGTCACGTAGGAATCAGAGCAGCCAATTTACAGAGCAACCTCTGGGTGAGCTGGTGGGTGGTGGGCTGTGTGAGTGCGGACCCCAACAAAAAGCCCAGTCTCACCCTCCTCTGACGAGCCACGAGTACAAAAGCACAAACACAAGACATCGGCCTCACACCCTGAATCTCCATACCTCGATAATGTGCACAGTACAGCCGGAGATGTCTCCCCGAGTGCAAAATCTTTTCTTGGAACAGGTCAATTTTGTTCAGGAATAAGATCTAAAGGAGAAAGAGAGCAATTTATAATCAAAAAGGTGAATAAACGAATCTTTGTATTTAAATGACATTAGCTGAGTCCTCTCGGCTTTCACATCCCATGCTCAATTTGTGAAGGTGCTTTCATTTCTTGAAATTTTACCCTTCAAGTAAAAGGTTAAGCCAGAGGGCCATGCGACTGCTCTCTCATTAGAGAGAGACAACTGGTGGCAGTTTAACCTGAGGGTCACAGCACCTCAGGTGAGGGGAGAGGTTGAGAAGGAGAGTCCTGCATGGTAGCCTCAGCCAGAGCGGGAATCGAACCTACGCTGTTGGCACCACTATCGCCGACCAGCCAACTGAACAAACGGACCCCGAAAGTTTACCCTGACCAGCTCAATAAATCATTTAACGTGAGAAATGAACATGGGGATCAGTGGGGAAAAGGCCCCTTGTTTTTGAGGGTAGAATCTTCGCTAATAATGTAATTAAAAGAAAGCAGAAGGTACAACATCAGGAGAATCCAGTCCGATCTGAACAGCAGCAATGAATAATCTCTCATTAGGAAGGAGAAACAGTCGATTAAATGACTCCATTAAGCAGACAGTAACAGTAAGCAAGATTGTCAAGCAGAACAGAATTGATCATTTGTCATCAGTCATCAGCTGCATTCTAAATACAAATGGCAGACACAATTAGTTATAAACGGAACTGGATTAATTTGAGGTCACAGGTGAACAGACTTTAAATAACTCACTGATTGACATACAGCTGAATAATATCCTACCAAAGGGAAAGATTTTTCTGCGAGAAGTGCGCCTTTCGAAGATAAATGAGAGATTGCTTTCCCCCACTTCCTTCTTGCTGGGATGTAGAGTTTTATTCATTTACAGCCAACCCCGAGATGTCATGCTCTCTCCCTTTCTCAAATCGCCACCTTTTCTCCATTTCACAATGTTACGGTGCAAACGCCTCTGAAGTTTCCTCCTCATTTAAGACCTGACCCAGCGGCCCCATCCCCGCCCAAAACAAAATACCTGACCACATCCAGGCCTCCACACAAAAAAAACCTCTTCCTTACAAACCTATCCCTCCTCCTACAAACCCCACAGGTCCCTTCCTACACGTATGGGAGAATGTGGCAGTGCTAATGTGTCACTGGATTAGTAAAGTCAGAGATCCAGGCTTAATACCTTGGGACCTAAGGCATAACCTTAGTGATGCCAAGGTAGCTCCACTACCCTGCAGCTGCTGTAGTGCTCATGTCCCACTACAGCAGCTGTAAATATCTGTAATTCAGTCTCAGGAAGGGGACTGTGAAAATACCAGTGATTGTTGTTTCTTTAAAAACACAACTTGCTCATTTATGCCCTTTAGGGAAGGAAACCTGCCATCCTTACCTAGTATGGCCTACATGTGACTCCAGACCCACAGTAACATGCTTAACTCTTAACTGCCCTTTGAAATAGCCAAACAAGCCACTCAGTTCAAGGGTAATTTAGGGATGGGCAACAATTCTGGCCTTGCCAGTGATACCATGAATGAATAAAGAAAAAAAAAGATTAAACCAGTAACCAATTAAACCAGCTACACCCACCTCAGACCTTGATCACATATTTTGTTTATTCGTCATTCATTTTTCCACTGATATCAACATACCATGGAGGTATTCCTGAAGAATATGTTGTTGCAGATGGAAGAAAACAGTCTCAAACTCTCCTGCAAGCGGTTCTGGGGGAAAAAAAAAAGAAAAAAAAGAAAGTGAGGACAGGTGTATAAACCAGAAGCATTGAGTCTTCACAGCTGGACCAGCCATCTCAAACTTTCATTTGGCTTCCTCTGAAGTCAGGGCAGAGGGATGGGGTTTCAGAGGGAGCCATTGAAATTTCAGTTCAAACTGAGAATGTTCCCAAACTACAGCTAGACCAATCTGAAGGCTGTCAATAGACAGCTTTTCCTTAACTCAAACATTCCTTGTAACTCTGTCTCAAAGTCTCCCTCCCACTGCTCCACGAAAATAACAATTCACACAATCCCGCGTGATTTTTAAGTCACAGAAAAGAACGCTCGCAGCACTTACTAGCTATTTGGCAGTGTCTAACTTCTGTTTCCAGTATATAGTCAAAAGGGGAGGGGGCCTCTTGCATTGCTGTGGTAGTGTCCCTACCTATGAACTAGGAGGTCAATTCAAGTTCCACCCGCTCTAGACTGTGGAATGACACCTGAGCAGGTTGATTAGAAACTAGCTATCATCTAAAAAGGGAAACATATGTGGTCCCTGACTGATTTAATAGATTGAGGCATGTCAAGGCAGCTCCTGCCTCTCACATGCACATCCTGTGCCTGGTTTCCTGGCTCTGGATAACTAACGTACAGAAAGGGTGCAGAGGAGATTTACCGGGATGTTGCCTGGTATGGAGGGAAGGTCTTATGAGGAAAGGCTGAGGGACTTGAGGCTGTTTTCGTTAGAGAGAAGAAGGTTAAGAGGTGACTTGATAGAGACATACAAGATGATCAGAGGATTAGATAGGGTGGACAGTGGGAGCCTTTTTCCTCGGATGGTGATGGCTAGCACGAGGGGACATAGCTTTAAATTGAGGGGTGATAGATATAGGACAGATGTCAGAGGTAGGTTCTTTACTCAGAGAGTAGTAAGGGCGTGGAATGCCCTGCCTGCAAAAGTAGTAGACTCGCCAACTTTAAGGGCATTTAAATGGTCATTGGATAAACATATGGATGATAATGGAATAGTGTAGGTTAGATGGGCTTCAGATTGGTTTCACAGGTCGGCGCAACATCGAGGGCCGAAGGGCCTGTACTGCGCTGTAATGTTCTATGTTCTATGTTCTAAGTGTTGTTATTTGTAGCTACTCCAGCTCCAGAAGAATGAAACTTGGAGCAGCTGCTGGCATCGCTGTGACACTCCCTTACACTTGTCGCCAATCCACAGCGTTATGGGGAAGCTGGCAGGAGGTGATGGCTGACCACCAGGAAACCAAGAGGAAACAGGCTGAAAATGCAGGAGTCTCACATGGATCTCTCTCTCACTCCCTCCAATCAATATCAGTTAGGAAACGCTGAGGAAAGTGATGATACATCTCAGGAATGCAGCTGGCCACAGCATCACAGTTGGCTCAGCTGTTTGGGGGAACGAAAATGACTGGAAGAGCTGTAAGAGATTCAATAGTTAGAGAACACGAGCCTCGGGCTGAACATGGGACACGGCTCACAGATGCACCCTTAGACCTCCGAACACTACTGCCACTGCCCACACCAAGTGTGGGAACCTACAGGGCTTTCTCAGTTCAGTGTTGGAAAGGAAAACCACTTCCAGGTTTAACCAAGGAGCTTGTTGCGGTTAATGAGGTTTAGATTATTGCAAATACACTGCAGATGCTGGGAATCTGCAACAAAAACAAAACTTGCTGGAGAAACCCAGCATTGGTGGAGATAGAAACGGGGTTAACATTGCGAGTCTGGCCTGACTGTTCTTTCTAGTTGATGGAGTCCTCCTCGATACTGATGGATAACAGGCAATGTTAGGTCTCACTCCTTCGAGATTGTCACCATGTTCTGCCCACACATGGGTCACTATGATACTATCCCAGCAGGTGCCGATAGGAACAGACACATCAGGAGCACATTAGGCCATTCGGCCGTTCGAGTCGGTCGCCCATTCATTATGATCATGGCTGATCAAACACCTCAATAGCCCATTCCTGCTTTAATGTTTGATCCCTTTAGCCCCGAATGCTATATCTGACTCCTTTTTGAAATCATACAACGTTCTGGCCTTGACTGCTTTCTGTGGTCGAGAATTCCACAGGCTCACCACTCTCTGGGTGAAGACGTTTCTCCTCATCTCTGTCCTGTGTCCCTAGGCTGCGATCCCTGGTTCTGGAAACCCCCCTCCCCAGTAATCAGGATCATCCTTCCTGTGTTAACACTGTTTAGTACTGTTAGACTGACTATGATACTCCTCCACGTTAACGCTTTCAAAAGCCATCTATAACAAACAGTCAGTACCTCGAGGCCAACACTGCCCAATGCTAGAAGTGGGTGGTGTAGGAGAAAGGAGCAGCCAACGATGTCCCGAATAAGTGACCATCGCTACTCACTTTTGGGGTGGCACGGTGGCACAGCGGTTGGCCAGGGACCCGGGTTCGATTCCAGCCTCGGGCGACTGTCTGTGTGGAGTTTGCACATTCTCCCTGCGTCTGTGTGGGTTTCCTCCGGGTGCTCCGGTTTCCTCCCACAGTCCAAAGATGTGCAGGCGGTGGATTGGCCATGTTCGGGGATGTGTAGATTAGGTGGGTTATAGGGGGATGGGTCTGGGTGGGATGCTCTGAGGTTTGGTGTGGACTTGTTGGGCCGAAGGGCCTGTTTCCACACTATAGGGATTCTATGATTCTATGAGGCAGACGCTCACACACTGGCCCACAATGGTCTGCTCAGTACAAGTACACATCTCGGTCTCCAAATGCTTTACAAGTTCAGAAAATGAACCTTTACAACATGTCAAAAGGTGCCAACTGTACACCGACCCGGTTGATGCATTGGGTTAGGGGTTAATTGAGAAACTAATTTCCCTGTTAGTTACTTCTAAAGCCAGAGGCAGTGTTTCAGGAAGTGAAGCCAAGCATATCTAATCCTCAGAGAACCGTTTGTTCCAATATCATGCAAAAAGATAGGGGAGGGGAAGTGGGGGGATAGAAGGAGGGCAAGAGAGAGAGAGAGAGAGAGAGAGAGAGAGAGAGAGAGAGAGAGAGATGGATAGTGTTGGAGTTCATTATCATTTCTCAGATCATCCGACAATCTGATAACATGCTGGGTGTTTACTGAGTGTCAGGAATGAGTTCAAAGCCAGCACATTCATCAGGGTCCAATGGTTACAGGTTCAAGTCCCACAGCAAAGACCTGAGCACAGAACTGATACTGACACTCCAGTGCTGTAGCGAGAGTGTTGCACTGTTGGGAGGTACTCTCTCCAGTGAATGAAAGATTCACTTTAAAGGAAGAGTGGGGGCTCTTCTCCCACCTCCTAGACAAGATCTATCCTTAAACGTCATTAAAAGCAATTAGTACAGTGCTGGTTGTTTGGAGCTGGCTGTGTGCAAATTGGCTGATATTCCTCCTAGAATACCATTCTTAATTAGTTGTACAGTACTTTGCAATGTCCTGAGGCCAAGAAAAACACTACCAATAAGAAGTATTTCCTTCTCCAGAGTGTAGCTGGAGGCTTGAGTAACTGGTACCCACAATCCAAAAATCAAAAATGTACAATCAAATATTTATTTTTAAAATTTGCATCATTAAACGTGGGGGAAATACAGATTTATTCCCAATTTCAGAGAGCTTTCTCATCACAACACTGTCCCTTCGATGTGTAGAATAAGCTGACATGTTTAATCAATAAGTCTATTGATTAAAGCACAAGTTGGCAGAACTAAAGTAAGTTGTTTCCAGATGACCTAGCTCTAACATGATAACAAGGCTCAGAACTGGCTACAGTGCACTAAGCTGACAGCTGAGTGACTCCAGTACAACTCAAAATCCCTGCTCAGAATCTCTGGTAACCCATGAAGAATGCAACAACTTTATTAGAGCTGTGGCCACTGTGTCCTGCTGGGATGACGTTCCTTCTGATCCTGTGGTAAAACTCGGCTCAGAAATCTGTGCCTCCTCCCTTTCCAATGTTCCTTCACCTGACTGTACAATTACCAGGAGAAGCAGCAAGTAGAAAGCTTGAAATATTTGGAGGCTGAATTCCAGAACTTGGGGATCAGGCAGCTACAGGCACCATTAATGGTGAAATGGTGCATAAAAAACCCAAAATCTGTAACTAGGAGGAGACCAGAGCTGGAGGAGGGTTGTGGAGCTGGATGAGACAATTGTGACAGAGAGGGACAGCCAGGCCATGGAGGCATCTGGAAACATGGATTCTAAACACCGTCTGACATAGGCTTCCAGTTGGTCAGTGAGCACAAGGGTGATGTGACCAGAAGATGATGGGAATTCCCTCTAAGACCCCAGCATTAATGGTGGCTTTAACTCTGTAAATCACCTTTCATTTTAAAAGTTAAATTCCTTTGAAAAGCATTACAATTGCATCAGCCTGTGAGTCAAACTTTATCTACATCCATCATCTACCATTGGCTGAATAACAGACTCAGATATTGCAATTACAGCTGATTTGCTGTTCACCATATTTAATAGGGGTTTACAGCTTTTAACTAGAGTCCTTGTGGCACAGTGGTAGTGTCCCCACCTGTGAGACACAAGGCCTGGGTTCAAATCTCACCTGCCTGAGGTGTGCAATAACATCTCTGAACAGGTTAATTGGAAAATACCTGTAAAGGACTGTTGTTGGGGGGGTTTGTAATATCTACAGCTTTAAATATGTAATTGCAAACAGCAATTGATCAGTTGGTACAACACTGGTCTCTTGGACTTCCAGACACAAATACACGATTAAATGCAACTATCATTCTAGGCATTACTTCGCAATGCATTACAAGTCATGCATATAACAAGAGACCAAGTTTCACAGTATATCCCCAATAGCTATCTACAGCCTGAACTGAAATCAAACAGAGTCTGTAGTCGTTTTGACTCAGGCTTGGGATATCTGGCCAAGTACATTCAATTTACACTGTAGGGTCTTCAGCCTACTAGACATTAAACATTAAACATGAATCTAACATAAAGACATAAGAAATATGATAGGCAGATGCCAGCAGCCCTTTGAGCCTACTCTGTCATTCAATCAGACTGTAGCTGATCATCTACTTCAACGCCTTTCTCCTGCACTAACCCTCATTCCTTTGCGTTTTTGATATGTACAAATTTAATCAGCCAAAGACTTGAATATACTCAATGGCTGAGCCTCCACACCCCTTGGGACAGAGATTTCCAAAGATTTACCTCCTTCTGAGTGAAGAAATGACTCCCCATCTCAGTCCCAAATGGCCTGTAAAAAAACCGAAAGAACTGCGGATGCTGTAAATCAGGAACAAAAACAGAAGCTGCTGGAAAAGCTCAGCAGGTCTGGCAGCGTCTGTGAAGGAAAAATCAAAGTTAATGTTTCGGGTCCAGTGTCTGGTTCTGAAGAAGGCTCACCGGACCCAAAACGTTAACTTTGTTTTTTCCTTCACAGATGCTGCCAGACCTGCTGAGCTTTTCCAGCAACTTCCGTTTTTGCTCCAAATGGCCTGTCCCTTTTTCAGAGACCGTGCCCCTGATTCTACAAGCCAATACCCTTCCTCCCCTCTACCGAGGGGAAACATCTGTCCTGCTTTTACGCAGTCAATCTCAGAGTATTGTGAATGTTTAATTGAGATCACCTCTCATTCCTTCAGTTTATTTAATCTTTTCTCATCCACCCGTCCATTCCAGGAATCAGTTTAGATACTGCTGGGACCAATGCCCAAGAGAATCATCAGAATCGTGTTTAAGTAATTATGGTCTTTTCCCTAATTTTCTTTGAGCATGTTTAGTGGTTAAAAAGCATTTGAAGGGTTTCTGTGGTAGAGCGGTAGTGTCCATAGCTCTCACCTGCCTCTGAGATGCATAATAACATTTCTGAACCAGGCTGATTGGAACATTATCTAAAAGCATTCAAGGGGAATGAAAAAGTTATTTGATTGGATGAAGATCATGTAATGAGACCTGCAGGAATGCACCCAGCCAAATTTTGAACGCCAATGTTGTGAAAGATATTAAACGCAAAGTGCGGCAGATACTGAAAATCTGAAATAAACAGGGTGCTGGAGAAAGCTGGCAGATCGAGCAGCATTTAGGAGGAGAGAAACATCTCACAGCCTCTGTTCCCTTTTCAAAAAAAAAGTCACACTGGACTCGAAAGGCTGTTGCATGAGACATTTAATACCACAAAGGATTAACTGATAGCACAAAACAAACTCTGGGAATTAGGGCATAAAGGACTGTTAAGGCACTTGTGGTAAAGTGGTAGTGTTCCTGCCTCTATATCTGGAGGCCTGGGTTCAAGTCCTGCCTGTTCCAGAGGTGCATAATAACATCTCTGAACCAGGTTGATTAGAAAACGAAGGACATTCCTAAATAGGAGCTAACCCTTACATTCTAGTTTGGTTCTAGATTCAGTGCTAGGTCTATGTACCGACATGCACGTATTCTTATGCACCGCCTAAAGTCTAACAAAGGGCTCTTGTCTAACCTCCAATCTGATGCAACGAGCTATTTAGTACAATGTAATAAATCTATTCAGCTATAAGATTCAGCCTATTTTCTGCTGATGACTTTGTATATATGTATTGCCAAGGAGGAGGATTAATGGCAGGGATTTGTTCGAGACATATCGGATGGTTCTGGTGAAGCTGACAATAACAGCTATCACGCTTGGCAGAGCTGATACCCAAAATTAATCCGTGCCAGCAGCGGTGGGGATTTTGAAGGATAGACACCAGGATAAGAACAGGATCTTCTGATCAGTGTGAGATTCCACATCCCCACACTGGGAACGTTGGAGTGTGGAACAAATCAGAGTCTCGATGCCTTCCAGCTCAGCTGGAAGATGTATCTTTTGACTGTCACTGTTGCTCAGTCCTCGGGTCTCGGGAGATGTTGAAACAGTGATTGCTTCTGAATTCAGCAATTAGCAAATCCAGTCCCCTGTCCAAACAGTTATTTCCATAATTTCTTTCAATTGCCTTCCCTTTCTCTCTGGGCCCAATCGCTCAATCTTAACTGACAATACATTTATCATCTCTATTCATTACGGTTCCAAAAAAATCACTAAACAGCCAGCAGCCCCTCACAACATGCGTATGAGTTTGTGTTTCTGGGGAATGGAAGTTCTTAAAAGAGCGAAAGGAAAAGTGCACATTTATATAGTACTGTTCACACGCTTTACAGCCAATTAAATGGCATTGGAGCTGGTGCAGTTACAGCTGTAACGTAGGGAGAAGTGAAACCAATCTATGCACAACAAGATCCCACAAGCAATAATACCATGTGACCTGCCCTTGAGGTTATTTGAATGAGCATTGGTCAGAACAACTCACACCACTCAATCTCAGTAGCTTCCGGAAGCGAAAGTCATGGCTTCAGCTAATCTTATAGGATAGCCAAACCCTCCACACCAGGCAACATCTTCAGCACACAGACCTGAACTGTATCCTTCCTCCACGCTGGAAACTTCACCTTCCTGATTGGAAATCTCAAACAAAACCGACTGCTCCTGGTGTCTCCACAGTCAGCATTCCTATCACTGGCGACTCACTATGGAGTCTGCACATCAGCAAGCCACAAACATTCAATCTATTCACCCAGGGCTTTCCGTCAACGAAATGCGGGCACTGCTGGCTGGGTAAGCATTTACTTTCCATTCCCAGTTGCCCACTTGAAGGTGATGCTGAGCTGCCTTCTTAAACCAAGGTGGTGGAAGAGATTTTTCAATTAGTCAGTTCCTTCACCACCTTCCACAGGCTCAACCTGGTAGATAAATCCTTCAGGAATTGGCACTGCCAAGCTACTCTTCATTGGACTCTTGTGCCTTGAAGTCCTGCCCCTACCCAGAACAGATTTCATGCTCATGTTACCTTCAAGGTTCAACATGGAGGAGAACAGACATATCACCTGGACAGGATGGTCTGCTGTACACAGCGATCAGCAGGAGGTTTCCTTGCCCATGTCTGACTTGATGCCATGAGATTTCACAGGGGTCCGAGGTCAACGTTGTGGTCTCCAAGGGCAACTCTCCCCCAACTGGTGCAGCCAATCCTGTTCCAACCTGATAGCTATATGGCTAATGTCCAGTAGGGGCTGCTGGATGGAATAATACTGGCATCGCAGGCTCTTCCTTTGCCCCAGTTGAGGAGTCTAGAACCAATTTTAAAAACAATTTTAAAAATATGGGGTGGGGCTGCTATTTAGGACCGAGATGAAGAGAAATCATTTTACTCAGAATGCTTTGAATTCTCCACCTCGGAGAGCTGTGGAAGCTCATATTCAAAGTAGGGACTGATAAATTTTTGATTATCAATGGCATAAAGGTTCATGGGGATAGAATGGGTCAAAGACTGTATTAGATTAGCCATGACTGTGTTGAATCAGGCACTGAATGTCCTACCCCTGTTCCTACAATATTTCTTAGTGACAAAGGGAACAAGATCAATTGTCAGCCAGGATTTACGGCACAGAAAGAGGCTATTCAGTCCAACCTGTTCATACTTGTGTTTATGCTTCACTCAAGCTTATTTCTCTCGGTTACTTTCACCCTCATATCCTTGACTAGTTTCCTGTTAAATGCATCAATATCAGTCACTTCAACTACTCCTTGTGGAAGTGGTGTCACATTCTTCCCACTCTCTGGTGAAGATTATTCAGAATTCATAGAATTTTTCACAGAATCCTTACAGTGTGGAAACAGGCCCTTCGGCCCAACAAGTCCACACCGACTCTCATAACCCACTTAATCTACACATCCCTGGACACTATGGGCAATTTAGCATGGCCAATCCATCTAACCTGCACATCATTGGACTGTGGGAGGAAACCGGAGCACCCAGAGGAAACCCACGCAGACACGGGGAGAATGTGCAGACTCTACACAGACAGTCGCTCGAGGGTGGAATCGAACCTATGAGGCAGCAGTGCTAACCACTGAGCCACCGTGCTGCTCAATGCGGATTCCTCGGGGACTATCTTGCCCTACAAGAGGCAACACTGTATTCACTCGATTAAAACCTTTCAGCATTTTAAATATCTCTATTAAGTCACCCCTCAGACAAATGCAGGGTTATAGGGTAGGGAGCTGGGTATGGGTGGGGTGGTCTCCAGAGAGTCAGCATGGACTTGATGGGATGAATGGCCTTCTTCCACAATATAGGGATTTCTCTCTTTAGAGAGAGAGAGAGCGAGAACCTGAGGGTCTCCAGGCCTCAGATGAGGGGCAAGGTTGAGAAGGACAGTCCTTCCTCGTAACTTCAGCCAGGGTGGGAATTGAACCCGTGCTGTTAACATCACAAACTGCAGAAAACAGACACAGCCTATCAATTTTTTCTCGAAATGTTTACCCAGTCATTCCTGATGTTACCCTCCATTCTCTCCAGTTCCTCCATACCCCCCTCATTACAACAAGACAAGCAGGATTAGTAACAAAAAACAGTTCTGAGGAAGGGTCACCGGACCCGAAACGTTAACTCGGATTCTTTTTCTTCGCAGATACTGCCAGACCCGCTGAGCTCTTCCAGCAACTTCTGCTTTTGTTCCTGATTTACAGCGTCCGCAGTTCTTTTGGTTTTTAAACAGAATTAGATGCTGTTCCATAACAATAATGGGGGTGGGGGGAGGTTTATACATACAAGTGACTCCCACCTGAACAGAGCCTTTGGGTTTTTTGGGTGCTGGGGAGAACGTGGGAAGTTTTAACAGATCACATCAACACCCCCCCCCCCACCCCCACCAAGCAGCAGCTTCCTCGCTGTTTGTGGTTCATCTCAGCAACCCTTGCTCTCTGTCAGACAAAGAATCTCTGCTCAATTCTCTTGTCAAGCCTGTATAATATATAATTATGGATGGCTCATGATTCCCTTTGAATGGAGCTGTCAGCTTAGTGCGCTCCAGTTCGTTGAGCTGACAGGTTTCACATTTCTCTACTGGCAGTCAGACACTGACAGACACTGACAGTTTGCTCGTCACCTGGTCCTTACCGCTGCCAGCCCGCAACTTCCACCCAACTTTCCTTCAGCTTCTTTGTCGGCTTTTGTTTTCTCTTTTCCAGTCTCTCTCCTGTCAGCCCGCTCTCTCAGGGAAACTGGCTTTGCTGGGAATCAGTTGCACCACGTTGGAAAATCTCACACAGGCACCTTTCAGACACGCACACAGAGGGACAAAAAGAGAGGGACAAAACGAGACACACACAGACAGAGGGACAAAGAGAGAGAGAGAGAGAG